TGCTGTAGAGCAGCCCCTGCTATGGAAAAGGCAGAAATCCCCCTAAAACGGAGAAGGGACAGCTGGGAAGGGCCAGGACATCACAAGGTGGCTCCATCCCTCCCAGACCCCCTTTACAAACTCCTGTTTCCCCGTCGTTGCAACAGGACCGATGGTTTTCTGAAGGAAAGCTGCTGTCTTGGAGGAGGAGATTTCGAAGCATCTGCTGTTCCTGTTTGGGCTCTGTGTGCGATTTTCCATGGGGATGTCTCACAACGTGAAATCCCCCAGTGGGCTGTGTAGCAGGGGCCCAGACCATCCACAGGGCTGCCCATCACAAAAACCACAACAAATGGTGAAAAAGGGAAAAAAAAGGCCACGTGAGGCTGGCTACACCCTCGCTGTTTGGTGCTGGCGCAGCCTGGATGGAGGGAAGCCAACTCCATGTGAGGTGACACACAGGAGCTCACCTGTGCCCTCTGTGTGCCCCCACACCTCAGCACTGTCCACCCCAGCCATGCTGTTACCCCTTGGGGGGGTCAGGGGCTGCCCCTTACCTGTGAGCCGTGGGGAGCTCAAGTACCAAAGCCTCCAAATATAGAAAAATTAGTTACAGCATTTAATTGCAAACCACCATGACTTCAGCCCAGGAAAGAGGTCCTGGGAAAGGCCAGACTCTGCCATGAAAATCATGCAGGAAGAAATAAAACAGACGACTCTTTATTAAAATATACCCTCTCTGTCCTTTTCTCAGAGCTCATTTACACCCTGCTCTGCGCAGGCTCCCCCTTTTCACAGCAGCACTTCAGAGTCCTGCACACAGATATCGGTATGCGGCAGCCCCGGGGCGAGCGAGCCACCGGCGGGCAAGGTGCTGGCCTGGGTCCATGCCAAGTCCTTGCTGGCTGCACCCTCGGGCAGCAGTGGGACGTAGGCCTCCTCCATGGGACCGCCGAGCTGCTCCTCCAGGACGTACCTCGTCTCCCATTGCTCGTTGTGGTGGACATCCACGGCCACCAGCGCAGCCTCCGCTTGGGGGGAGCAGGGCTCCGCAACGTCCCCAGGGTCCAAATCACAGTCCGCTTGGGGGAAACCCGAATCCTGGGTGGAGTCTGGGCTCTCCTCGGGCAAGCTGGTGTTGATGTAGATGATATCTCCAGATCCCCTGACTGTGGGTAGATTTTCCAGCAGCTTCTCCAGGTGGACCTTCAGCTGCGAGAATGTCGGGCGGGTGGCAGGATCGGCTCTCCAGCACGCAGACATTATTTCATACCTGGAAATCAGGAGAGAAGCGTGGTTATCACAGAGGATGTTGCCCAACGCTGGGCTATGGGATGTACAGGGGCTAATTCCCTGCTCCCCACCAAACTGGGCAAGCCCTGAGCTGCTTTGTATGAGAACAAAGACAAACCAAATTCCCCTTTAGGCTGTTTGCCCAGACTGCAGGGATTTATCAGCCCAGGCTGCTGTCAGAAGTCTCTTCCAGTGCCTGGCACTCACTGAGTGTCAGGCAGAGGCAGCCAGCTGCATCCCTGTGATCTGCTCCCTGGGAACATCCTGGTTCTCTCCTGGGACATCAAGTCCTTCCCTTGTCCTTCTGGCAGGTGCCCATTTCCAGGTGGGATGTCAGGACACTGAAAACTCCCAGTGCCTCCCTGCAAGCATGTCACTGCTGGGCACAAGCTGTCTGCTCTGCCCTCTAGCAGGCTGGATCCCATAAAAGGTTTCTTTGCTGCTTCCTTCAGGGACAGGTGTAGGAGATGGCCTTTTTAGGAACTGTTGTGCCACTCCAAGCAGTTTTGCTGGTTTGATGGCTTTGTATTTGCAGCTCTTAGCCATGGGGGTTTAAATATTTTCAGCCATACTTGCATCAGAGAAAAACTCGGGAAGAAAACTTGGGAGAAGTTTCTGAGCTGCTCAGAAATTAAAAGTTTTGAGGTTTCCGTATTTTCCCTTTCCAGATTCATTGGTTTTAGGCACTAAAGGGCCCTGAGTTACTACAGGGAGTTTTGTGGAGCGGAGAAGAGCATGACAGGCCAAGACTTTCTGGCCAAAACTATCTTGATAAAAAAATAATAAAATACCAAAAAGTCTGATTCCTCACCACAAACTGCAGAGGGCACTGCTCCTGTCCCCACAGGACCAGCGAGGTGACCTTGGCACTTCCCACCCGCCCCTCACCAACAGCCCAGCTCATCAGCCCTCTGTGCCAGCCCTGGAAACCATCGCTTTCTCCCAGGATATGCGTTGGCATTTCTCTGCTCTTGCTTGTCTGAAGTTAAGATGCTTTTCCTCCCTGTGTATCACTGCTCTAGGATCTGGCTTGTATTAGGCACAACAAAACTCAGGAAATTATGCAAATATCAAAAGAGTTTGAAGTTTTTGTTTATGTGACACTTTAAAATTTGACCCACCCCATTATTCTGGCCAGCTTTCCTCTGAGAGCTAACCTGCATGTGTGTTCTTGGAAGCTCCCTGCCTATCAACACCACAAGGAAGAAAAGGTTAAATCCTTGCCATTTTTTGCTAAATCCATTCTTTAACAACTGTTGTTTCTGGGGGCTGTGGGAGAAACGGAGGGGGTGAGGCAGAAGGTGACTCCCTCTCCGGTACAGACCTGTCTTACTCCACCTGGGAGAGGCAGGTTTGCAGCAGGTGGAAGCATGGCCATGCTGGAATGGTCTTTGATTGCACTGTGATGCACAGCTTTATGGGCTTGTGGCCACATTCAGTGCTAAGCCACAAATCCACAGCATGAGTAGTTGTTGTGTCCTTAAAGAAAGGATGTCAGCAACTGAGAGCCCCAAAGCAGAAAGAGTAGCATCCCACAGAAACCACTTCAGCTAAGGGCAAGCGATGCACAGGTTGTTTGCAGACAGACAGAGAGCAAAGGGGCTGCACTACAGCCCAGAAACAGGGTTACAATACTCACAGCTCATCCAAGCAGTCCTCAGGCTTCTTCAGGCGCTGCCCACGGAAGAGGTACTCGTAGATCTCATGGTTCTGCACTCCTGGGTAGGGCGTCATCCCTCGCGTCGCTATCTCCCACATGGTAACGCCAAATGCCCACTGCGAGGACAAAGGGAAAGCACGCTGAAAGGACATTTCCAGGAGGAATCAATGAGTGTTTTCATGGGGAAAGGTCACTGCCTGGCATCCACTGGGCCCTCGCACAATGCTAAGAGTTGTCGCTCCAGTCCTGCCCTCTCCAAAATTGGAAATAATAAGCGATGCCACAGAAAAGGCAAGTGGCCCACTCAATAAACCTATTCCAGGGTGCTGGGCAGGCAGCGAAAGGTCAGTGTGTCCCATTACCGACAGCCTCCCGCTCTTCTGGCTTTGTCCTTCCAGGGTACAAGAACAACTGCAACCAAGTGCAGCAAGGGCGGATGACTCAATCCAGGCATCGGTCCCCAGCTCTTGCCTCCTGCCGCCTGGCTGCCCAGCCACATGGACCTACCACATCGCTCTTGGTGGTGTAGACACGGTCAGCCAGGGATTCAATGGCAATCCACTTCACTGGCATTTTTGCTATTCGGCCCTGACGGTAGTAATCGCCACTGTAAATCTTCTTTGACAAACCAAAGTCTGCCACACATACTGTCATGTCATCCCGTAACCTGTCAGGCAGAAACAGGGATGATAAGATGACAGAAAAGTTTGACATGCCAAATGCTGAAGCAGAAACCTGAGACTTGGCTCTTTTCCCCTGTCTCTCAGGACAGAGGGAGGTTTTACTGAAGGAAGCCAAGTTGTGCTGTAAAATCACAGGGCTTCCACTGATGTTCACCTATCCAGGACAAAGCAGAGGAAAACAAACTCACATGCAGTTTCGAGCTGCCAAATCCCTGTGGAGAAAGTGCCGACTGCTCAGATACTCCATCCCCAGGGCGATATCAACCATGAATTTCACCAGCATCTGCAGGGGCACAAACTGGGAAGGGAAGGTGTAGGTTAGACAGTGCAAGCCTTTGGGAAGTAGGTTTGGTTTGATCTGAAAGGCTTCCTTCTCCAGGGCTGCTGGCTGACATCCTAGTGGTCTCACTAGCCTCAGAGAGTACAAGGAGCCCACAGCAGCAGCCACCATGGACTCTCTCATCCCTGTTGCACTAACAACATCAGACCATCAGATGTATTGAATCACAAGCCTGCAGAAGCTGCAGATGTGGGGACAGCTGTTTTAGAAATAACACCAAGCACTGTCTCACTGTGGTTTGCTGTAGCAGTGGACACCCTCCACACCCCCGCCTCCTCCTTCCACATTTCTGGAGTGCAGACATTGCTTCCTTGTTGTTTTTCCCACTGGCTGCCTTCAGATCACACAGATTTGGCTAGAAAACAGCTCTGCAGAAAA